AATTGACAATTTATATCCTTTGAAGTTTTATATATTTCATCACTTTCACCTCTAGTAATTGGAATCATAGCCCTATCTTTCTTTTGTTTTAGCCAAAATTTTACCTGGTCTTTCACCATTCTCCCAATATCTCTGTCATAAACATGTTAGCATGAATTCTGTCTGCTGTGATATTATTTAATTCATATTTCTTCTTCTGTATTTCTCTATACAAAGTAGTAGATGGGCTTCTAACCATCTGTGCCCATAAATGTTTCAATTCATCTTTCAAATTATTTTCCCTTTTATTTTTAATCTTATTTTTATATGATGCATAAGCAATAATTCACACTCGGATATAAGATTTATATGCTTCCCGTTCAAAAATTTGGGCACTTGATGTTTCTGAATTCAAATCAAAGTATTGCAAAGTCTCTACCCACATTTGTTGTACAAATTCTTTATCATTCAACAGAGAAACACTGAAATACCAATTTCTTGATGCCTCCTTTGTTTTCAGCTTCAGATATATCATGACAACTAGCTTCCCAATGGAAACTTAAAACAACAAAAAGAGTTTTTTGGCTTTATCAGTAGCAAAAGAAAGAAAAAGGAAAGGGTACACCCACTGGTTGGAGAAAATGGAGGCAAAATAATGGGTGCCAAGGAGAGGGCAGAACTCTTGAATTCCTACTTTGCTTTCCTTCAAAGGGGGAACGTATTCCAATGGACCTAAGCAGAACAATTGACACAAGGAAAAACTGGTAATGTATAGTACATAAACAGATTGTTAGGGGCCACCTGACTACCATGAATGAATTTAAGTCTCCAGGACCTTAATTACATCCAAAGTCTTGAATAGCTTGTGGATAGTACTGTAAGTTTCTGGATGCAATTCAAGGTATAAAGCACTTCATGGCATAATGCCTAGTTATCTGAGGGACCACCAACTCTTTAATTTCTGCCTGTTCTAGTGTCACCTAGTGGGGCCCAGGAAGACTTCTTCTGTCATGGTACCTGCCCACTGAAACAACATTCCTCTTTTTTCAATAATTTTTATTGAAGAAATGTTTAACAAGATAAAAACAATACAAATATTAAAAAAGAAACAAAGAAAATAAGAAACAATAGTGAATAAGTAAGAAAGAAAATAGAAGAAGAAATAGAAATAGAAAAGACTATAAAGAAACGGCTTCCGATCTTTTTGACAGCGGTTATAAATGCCTTT